ATTATTATTATTTATTTATTTTTTTTTTTTTCATGAGAAGGTCTGTTTTCTTTAGGGCTCTACCCCTTCACCATTCTCTCTCAGTAATATTGACCCTGCTGGAGTTTCTCTGCTCCTTTTATCCCTCAGGATCTTGATGTGTGTATTCATGCTGACATTTGCTGATGTTGTGATGTGAAGCGGCTCATCTGAAGGTCAGCTGTGTTCTGACCAGGGTTTGACCACAGTATTCATTAATAATGCACCAGGGCTGCCAACATATCGTTTCAGCTTCGATATCGCAGTGTGTGTGTGTGTGTGTGTGTGTTTGTGTGTGCGTGTTTGTGTGTCTTCAATAGTCACATCGCAGGATCTGCAGTGATGAGTTTGTACAGTGGGGGAAATGAGTATTGAGCATGCCATTGTTCTTTTTCTCAGAAAACCTATTTCTAAATGTGCTGTTGACTTGAAATGTTCACCAGAACTTTCAAGAGTTCACACTTAGCTGATAAATGAAGCGTATTTGGCATGCTGTCATGGGAGAGAGCCCTGAGCTCCCTCCCGTTAGAAGGGAGAGTGGGGAGTTGGAGCTCAGGTAGGTCTTGAGAAGTGTAGGTTATCTTGGGTGATAATTTGGTTTAGTCGATTGGCTATGGAGTATGTTTTTGGACGGTGGGGGGGAACCCAAAAGAAACCCACACAAACAAGGGAAGAACATGGAAACTCCGCACAGAAACGGCAACCGGCCCGATAGGAGGTTGGACCAGTGGTGTTCTTGCTGTGAGGCAAAAGTGCTGGCCACTGGGCCACCGTATCGCCCTATCGGAAAATAGGGGTGGAAGCTGGGGGGAAATCTCAAGACAAAAATAACTGGAGTGAAAAACTCTGGTTATTTATAATCCGCCCGTAATTATCTAAAAGGGAACATTACAGAGCTAATGAGGTGCCAGCCGTGTTGATCATAAGCACGTGATCCTCTCGAAATTAGTTTAGAAAAAATCCTCACAAAGAAATCCATATATGCAAAGAAAACAAATCTAATTGGTTTAGAAATTAAATTATGAGTATTAAACTGAAATGACGGAGGGAGAAAGTCTTGAACACATGAAGGAAGGAAGGCATAGAAAGACATGGAAAGCCCAGACAGCAGCTGAAATCTCAGTGTTCTTCAGAGGATGAAGATGAAAGCATTTCAGCAAGACGCTGTGTTTCCATCGACCTATTTTTATGCTCATTTTGGATACGTGTATAAAAAAACAGTTGATGGAAGTGCGGAGCTCCACATAAATGTGCAACATTTACATGCGTATGCGCAAAACTGAGTGTGATAAACCTTTTATTCGATAAGAAAAGATGCACATTTTTACCCAACAAACTCCAGTATGTGTATTAATGAAGTGATGTGATTTTGTCATCATGTGATGATGAAGATAATGTGTGTGAATGGATAATCCAGCAGGCTGAGCACACTGTAAAACACACTGAAATGTTGTTTTGGTCATTGTGAAACGTCTTTATTGTTTCAGTGTTAGTGTTATTATATTATTAATGACCTCCAGAGCTGTCATGAGCGTCTGTGCTCTGTGTCTCATGCCTTTAAACATCCTCAGGCGATCATTGTGCGTCTACAGACTGCCTTTATTGTGCAAGCAGGGCCGGCGCGTCCATAGAGGCGACCTAGACAGCTGCCTAGGGCAACAGTAATGAGAGGGCGGCGTCAGTGACACCTCCCTCACCTCCCGCGTCCTCAGTTATATTCGCGCATAGGCAACAGAATAGAGAGGGCAGCATCAGCGACACCTCCCTCAGCACCCGCGCATCCTCAGTTATATCCGCGCATAGGGGGCAGAATAGAGGTCCGCAAACACCTGACTTCATTTTCATAACCGGAAACTTTCGTTTTCACATTGGGGTTGAGGGTGGCGTGATCGTCCTCTGCCTAAAGCGGCAGTTCAGCTTGCTCCGGCCCTGTGCGCAAGTCATTTATTAAATAAAGAAAAGAGTCACGCAGCTTCTCAGATCGCAGCAAATTCTGTTTTTAGGGTTGATATTTGACACCAGTTTATCAGGAAGTAATGATTTTGTTCTCTTTGATTAATTGGACGGAGACGCTGCTTTATTTGCATGTCTTCAATGTGGTATTCCAGTTTTGTGCATAAAGTTAATTCACATGTTTGGATGGAAACACATGATCCAAAACACAGCCAAGGAGACTCTCCAGTGCTTTCAGAGAAAGAAAATCAAGCTGTAAAACGGCTCAGCCAAATTGGATCCCAGGTTGCCAGGTGTGTGCAAAGCACTTCCAATCCAATCCTGCCTCCAATCTTCAGTGCTAAATTCACCCTCACGCTCCATCATAACATCACAACTTCTGTGAGAAATCTCATCGCCATTTAGTCTCGCGAGATCTCGTCACCCGAGATCTACTATTACTATTTATTATTTAATTATTATTAAAAAAATAGCTGAATCTGTTTTTCCCTTAAATGTAAATGTCGATCATTCGCATGTGTTCATTAAAAGTCTTTTAATACTGTGAGGTTTGTTTCTTATGGTATGTTTCTTTCGGTTCGCCTCAGTGTTGTTATATTGATTTGTAGGAGTAAACACACACACACACACACACACTTTACAAGGAGAAACAGGCTTTTAGCAGCCCGTCTCATGAATATTTAATGAATGCAAATGAGGCTGATCTTAATCATTCCATCAGTCTTGTTATGCCAGAAGGAAACGCAGGGAATGTTGAACCCCATCATAACCGGCTGATTTATGANATATAAAAGCCTATTTGAGAAAATAAAACATCTTAATAGAGAATTATATATATATTTTTAATTATTATATATATATAATTAAATAATATAGTATATCAAGATTAATAATACATAATAATTCAATACTAATATGCACTAATTCATTCATTCTTTTTTTTTCGGCT